CCCCCCCCAACCCTGGGCTTCACCCCAGCCCCCCCGTAACCCCCTCGGGCCCAGGCTACAACTCATTCTTCCAGCCAGGGGAGGAGACAGGGGCCTCTTGCTGCTGATGCCTGCTCCCTATGTCCAGGAGGCTGGCTGAGCAGGGCAGCCGGGGTGCCGTAGAGTGCAGTGGTCAATCTCCAGCTTAGAGTCAAGTGATCTACAGTGAGACATCCCAGGGTGATGGTGACGGTGGACATGGGGCCAGACCCCCTTTGCCATCTCCACTGAGCTCACTGTCTCCACAGAGATCTGGTTAAGGGCAGAGTTTCAAAGGGGGCGCTTTCTGTGGCCCTTAAGCTTACAGCTTGGGCCCCAAAGGGGAAAAGTCACGGGTGAGCTACTGCAGTATGCTGGGTGTTGGCCTGGGTGCATGTGCGAGACACACGCACACCAGTGAACCACAGACAATAGGCAAGATGCTTCTAATCCCAGTCTGGCTAGCTGAGCATGGAGATGTCTGGCCCTGGTCACTGGAGGGGTTCCCCTCTGGTTCCCGTGTGTCTTCTGCTCTGTTGGCCTTTGTGGGCCCTTGAGGCTCATCCCCCCAGGAGCACCTCTTGCCTGTCAGAGAAGCCCAGCCTCACTTGCCACACCTCAGATGAGGCCTGATAAGGGGTGCATAGGCTGTAGCCTGGGGTGAGGTGCTCTGGGAGTCTGGAGCCTGGGACAGAGTGTTCTGGGAGTCCCGAAGTGGGCCCTGACTAGAGCTCCCTGTCTCTCAGCCCCAGCCACACGGTGCAGTCACCCCCACATGCACACAGGCAGGCAAGACACACATATACACACAACAATTGAAAATAAAAATAAATCTTTAAAATAAAATTACATTTATTTGTGTGTGTGTGTGTGTGTGTGTGTGTGTGTGTGTGTGTGTGTGACCATGTACAAGCTTGATGGTGGGAGGCTCTACTGCTGAACCATCGCAGTGGCCCCATCATTTCTAGCTTTTAAACAAACTTACTGAAATGTATTTTGCACACTGTACAGTCTACAATTCAGTGTGTAATGCAGCAGGCTTCAGTGTGGTGTGTGTGTGTGTGTGTGTGTGTGTGTGTGTGTGTGTGTGTGTGACCATGTACAAGCTTGATGGTGGGAGGCTCTACTGCTGAACCATCGCAGTGGCCCCATCATTTCTAGCTTTTAAACAAACTTACTGAAATGTATTTTGCACACTGTACAGTCTACAATTCAGTGTGTAATGCAGCAGGCTTCAGTGTGTTCAGTGTGTTTCAGACACAACCCCATACCCCAAGGCTGTGGTGCCCCATCACCCTCCCCAGCCCTGGCATATCCATTCTGCCTTCTCCTGTCCTTATGGGCATAGCCACTCTAAGGACATCACAGGAGTGATGTTTATACAAGATCTGCCCTTCCCATGCCTGGATCATGTCACCAAATAGGGTCTTCAAGGTCCTTCCTTTTCAGGACTGAGTTGTAGTCCATGGTAATTTGGACAGCTTCTTGTTCATCCCTTAATGGTCTTGTGGGATTTTTTTTTCTACCATGTGGTCCTTGTAACTGATGCTGCTGTACACGTCTTAAGTGTAGACATGTCAATTCCTCCTGGGGAGACTTCACTCTTGGCCCCAGTGGACTGATGCCCCAGGGCCTAGAGACACTGAGGTTCCCTCCCTGCCACCCTCCACTGCCTCAGGTTTGAGCCCACTTCCCCAGATGCCGTTCAAGCACTGCCTGAACCAAGGAGCTTCCCGCACAAGACTGCAGAGGCACGTGGGTCCTTGTTCCCGCTCTGCACCCAGATGTAAAGAATGACTCCTGGGGCTGGGGAGATGGCTCTGAGTAAAATGTGCTTCCTGAACCAGATGAGGACCCGAGTTTGATCGCTGGAACCCACACAAAAAGCTGGACATGGTGGCACACACTTCAATTCCCAATATGCAAGGTAGACAGACACAGGAGGGTCCCTGGGGCTCTGCTGACCAGCGGGCTTAATAGGAGAACCCTAGTTCCCAGGGAGACCCTGTTTGAAAAAGCAAGTAAGCAAACCAGCAACACCCACCAAGGTGCACAGCTCCACAGGGACAACAGAGGACGAACTCTGGCCTCCACATACACATGCAGACAGGTATGTAGAGTTCTTCCCCTGTACCATGTGACCCCACCCCTGCCCGTTGTCAGGACTCTTGCTGCTTTCTGTGTGGCCTTGCTTTGGTAGGGGTGGGGTCTCCCCTCTGCCACCTTTGGGCCCTGCTCCTCCCCAAGGCATGGAGAGTTTCCTGGGAGGAAAGGAGGCCTCCCCAGGGACCTCACTCTGGCTCCTACTAGCTTATCTTCGAAGGAGTGAGACCACTTGGGGACCTGCAGCTCCCCTTCTCCCTGGCCTTGGAGGAGCACCCCCACCCCTCCCCAGTCCTCCACATGAGGGACCTGCTTAGCATCTGCATCTGTCACCCCTGACTGAGCTCATCCCCTAGCATCAGTCTCCCCAGTGGCTTCATTATTTCTTTGTAAATGGGGTTTTTCCTAGTCAAAATAATCAGGGTTTTTCTGTTGCTGCCACATCTGGCTTTGATTGGCTCCAGCCTTCGAGGGTGCTGGCGTCCTGACGTTAGGGCCTGTGGCCTATAGAGGAAGCTGCCCCTGGTCCTGCACCCCTCCCCACACCGAGCCCCTCCCCCATGCTCTCACCACACATCTGCCCCTCTACTTCAGAGGGTGGCTCTGCAGGGAGCCCTGAGAGTTCGGGGGGCCCTGGGAGTTCACCCAAGGCTACATTGCAACCTGAACACCCTGTCATGCCTGTACGGGGGTGCTGGCCTTGAGAGGTTCCCCCGAGCTCCCAGAACTAAACCACCACACCACCCTCCCTCTGAGAGGCACAAGATGACAGTGTTCCTAGCTGCCTCAGTGCTAATACACATAGGTCCCCATGTCAGGCGAGGTGGGGCCCCTGTCTACCTGTACCAGGGGTGTGTGTGTGTGCCTGCACTGCCTGGGAGCATCAGGGTCCTGAGGCAG